TTGCTTGAATTCAGCCCATTTCTTTCCATCCAGACCCCTACAGGCTTCAAACCCTGATTCCAGATGTTGCCAGTACTGCCTAGGGCAGGGATAAGCAACCTTGGCTCTTTTATGACTCGTGGACTTCAACTCCCAGAATTCCTGAGCCAGCATAGCATAGCTGGCTCAGGAATTCTGGGAGTTGAAGTCCACGACTCATAAAAGAGCCAAGGTTGCCTACCCCTGGCCTAGGGTGTGATGGTCCGTTGGGTGTCTTCAGCATATGTGGACGATATGGCCCTCTGAAGCAAAGACTGATCCCTTCCAAGGTTTTCATGTTGTGTTAAAATGAATGGGGGAGAGAACCAAAATCCTGGGGCCCCTTCTGAGGCAGAGCCCATTGGGCCAATCTGTTCTTACCCACAACCGTCAAGTGGAGACATCCACAGAAGAGGGAGGGGAACCACCCCCAATCCGTCAAGAAGGACACCATGAGCAACAGTGCAAAGGCTACCAGGAGGCCTTATAGATCAGGATAGACCTGCTCCTCCCACCATCAACCAGTGGGACCACTGTGGTTTCTCTCCTGTATCAAGGCCAAACCCCGACCAAAAGGGGTCCAAATGATCTGTGATCCAGTACGGCTGAATCAGGGAGAGATGGTGGCACCAAGGCAAGGAGGTCTTTTGTATAAGTAAGTTTGCTAAAATGTTGGTGAACCTTTTGGGCTGCTAACATCGGATGTTCTTGCTTTGATACTCAGTCTATCCAAAAAATTGGATAATGCCTAACTTGGTATGCACGTGCGCGAGCACTCACACATACACACTCTGTCACTGACACACACACAGACACAAGGGAAACAATTTTTTACATATAAGTAGCCCTCGACTTACAATTGTTGTTTAGTGACTATTCAAAGTTACTACAGCACTGAAAAAATTACTTATGACTGTTTTTCACATTTATGACTGTTGTAGCACCCCCCTGGTCACATGATTAAAAACTGGCAACTGACTCCTATTTATGATGGACTCAGCTTCCCAGGGTCACATGATCCCCTTTTGCGACCTTCTGTCAAGCAAAGTCAACGGGGGGGGGAGCCAGATTCGTTTAATGACTATGCCACTAACTTAACAAATGCAGCAATTCCCTTAACAACAGTGGCAAGCAAGCTTGTAAAATGGGGCAAAATTCACTCAACACGTCTCAGTTAGCAACAGAAATTTTGGGCTCAGTTGTGGTCGTAAGTCAAGGACTACTGTATTCATTCACTTTTAAAAACACAGCCCAGTTGTGTATGTGAGCCTCAGGATCTGCTGTGTGCCAGGCGCTGTTATTTCTGTGAAAGATCCTTGCAGCCCATACAAGCCAACTCCAGCTAGCAAGGGGTCTTCCCTCTTGCAGAGGCTTCGGAAACAGCTTTTCTATCACAACTGCAACGTGTTAGAACTGCGTAAGAGGCTAGAGATGGTCACGTATAGCATGCAGATCAAAGGTGAGCAGCTCCAGAGGCTACAGAGAGCACGGCACTCTCTCTCCCACAACTTCTGATGAGCCGGAGGCCACACAAGGAGGAGCACACTGGATTCTCCATCGGCCTCCACAGCCTCCGAAAATCATGTGAGAACAGGGTGTGCTTTCAAGAACAGTTGTTGGGTGTCATGAATGCCAGCACGTCACCCAAAACATTGTGGCGTGTCACCTGGGACACACATGCCACAGTTCGCTTTCTCTAGTCTGGTGATCAGCCGTGTCCCTTCCGGAGAGGGGACAACTCGCCATGGACATTTCACCACGGACAACCCAGTGGGGCAATTTCACCATGGCCATCTCAATATGGCTAACTCATCATAGGGCAGTGTTTCCCAAACTTGACAATTTTAAGGCATGTGGACTTCAACTCCCAGAATTCCACAGCCAGCGTTGCTGGCTGTGGAATTCTGGGAGTTGAAGTCCTCATGCCTTAAAATTGTCAAGTTTGGGAAACACTGTCATAGGGGATAACTCAACATGATAAATATTCCAAAAATGGAAATTATGTAGAAGAAACAGTGGCGAAGAACATTTATTGCATTGAGTTATCCCACGTGGATCGCCCCGCAGTGAGTTGTCTACAGTGAATTGGCTGCAGAAAGATGGTTGTGCTGGGTTGGCTGTGGCAACATGGCCGTGACAAGTTGGTCGTGGCAAAATGACCACACTGAGCCAGCCATGACAAAATGGCCAGAGTGAGTTGACTGCAGCGAGTTGTCCTAGACCGGGGTTAGGCAACCTTGGCTCTTTTATGACTGGTGGACTTCAACTCCCAAAATTCCTGAGCCAGCCATGCTGAGGGAAAAGGGAGAGGTTTCCAAGTTGAGCCATGCTGGCTCAGGAATTCTGGGAGTTGAAGTCCACGAGTCATGAGGGGGGCCATGGTTCCCCCATGCTGGCTGAGGAATTCTGGGAGTTGAAGTCCACAAGTCGTGAGGGGGCCATAGTTCCCCCATGCTGGCTCAGGAATTCTGGGAGTTGAAGTCCACGAGTCATGAGGGAGCCATAGTTCCCCCCTGCTGGCTCAGGAATTCTGGGAGTTGAAGTCCACGGGTCATGAGGGGGCCATAGTTCCCCCATGCTGGCTCAGGAATTCTGTCATAAAAGAACCAAGGTTGCTTATCTCGAGGGATGGGATTTACTTTTTGGGCGGCATGCCTATTTAATATTTAACAAAAAGATGGATTGGGTTTTTAAATCTCATATTTTAAGAATTTCTTTACTTAGGACTTGGAGAAAATATTATAAAAGTGATTTTAAAGTACCATTATGGGCTATACCTTGGCATGCGATAGAAGGAATAAAAAGAGGTGCTAAAATGGACATGGTGTCTTATAGACATTTACTTAGGTGGGATGGACAAAACTGGCAGTTAAAATCACGTGAAGAGTTAGCACAAGAAAATATTATTTACTCTTGGTTCCAATATAGGCAATTAGCAGATAGATGGAAGGTGGATTGCAAGATGGGCCTTCTTAGAGAAGATGAAAATTTTATTAAGCAAGTGAAGGATCAAAGACAAGCCCACATTAAGAGAATTTATGGGGTTCTAGTTGAATTGGATTCAGAAACGGAACTAATTAAAGATTGTATGATCAGATGGGCGCAGAATTTTGGTGAGCCAGTTCCATTGGACACCTGGGAAACTATTTGGGTGAGAAATGTCAAATTTACACAAGCACAGAATTTAAGGGAGAATTTCTATAAAATGTTTTATAGATGGTACCTTGATCCACAAAAAATGTCTTTTATGTACCCTGACCTACAACCCAAATGTTGGAGATGTGGGTGTACGGATGCTACTTATTATCATATTTGGTGGTCGTGTAGAGAGATAAAAGCATTTTGGATTAAGATATGGTGGAATATCCAGAGAATTTTTAAAAGGAGGGTAAAATTTACTCCGCAATTATTTCTGTTGGGTATAGTTATTGATTGTGATACAAAGGAGGTTATATTGATGTTAAATTTGATTACAGCCGCGAGGCTGTTAGTTGGACAATATTGGAAGAAGGAATCTTTGCCTACATTGCAGGAATGGTTTCTTAAAGTGTCTTATTTGGCGGAAATGGCAAAGATTTCGGCTTTCTTAAAGCAACAAACGCAAGAGAAATTTCTTGCTGTTTGGGATAAATGGATAAAATTTATACAGTTTAAAATGGATATTAAAAAATATTATATAGCTTTTTCTTAATTTTTATTTTTATATATATACATATATATTTTAAAATATAATTTTTTTGATTGTTTTTTAATTAAGCCTATATTCTGCTCTGGGAAGCTCGGGGGGGAGAAGGGGGGGTGTTTGGGGGAGGTTGGGGAAGGGAGGGTTTGTTGTGTAATGTTTAGTTTTTTTCTTTGTATATGTTTTTTGTCTTTGTATTGTTTTGTTTTTTTCCTTTTCTTTTGTAAAACTTATAAAACTTTTAATAATAATAAAAAAAAAAGAACCAAGGTTGCCTACTTCTGGCCTAGGCCTAGGCCGCTTTATGACTCGTGGACTTCAACTCCCAGAATTCCTGAGCCAGTATGGCACAGCATGGAAACCTTTCCCTTCCCCCTCAACATGGCTGGCTCGGGAATTCTGGGAGCTGAAGTCTACCAGTCATAAAAGAGCCAAGGTGGCCTGCCCCTATCCTAGACCCTCCTGAGCTGGCCAGATCTGGTGATGCTTCTCCATCCCTTAACTTCAGCTGGTCTTGTTTATCCCGATATGAGGTGCCTCCTGAAACTTATTTGGGGTTTTGCAACAAGCAGCTGTCTGCAGGGCAGTCCAAGGATGCCGGCACCTGCTTGTGCTGAGGGTTCAATGTTGGTTGCCAGCGCCTGTCCAGCTGGACCTCAGTAGATTTGAAAGCCCTACAAAGCTGAGGGCTCCCCCCAATCTGGTTGTCATTCAGAGTTGCAGATGAGACTTGGAGTTTCTGCTACAGAGACCGAAGCAGGCCGGGCTGCCTTGAAGAGTTCAGGTGGCCTTCTTGCTAGAACCGTAAGAAACACCAAGTTGTAGCCAGCCTCACTTATGAACAAATTGTTGTTTTTTTGTGTGTGTGCTGTTTAAGGCACGGTACACCCAGTGCCCAGACTGGGCCAGTCTGCCTGACTTCTCAGCCTCTGGAACACACAACAAAACATGAATGAGCTGGGGTCAGACCCCAAATATGCTTTCAAAATGTGGGCGGGGACACCGCCTTACAAATCCCTCTTGATCATTCTGCTCCTGCAGCTCCTGCCTCCTTTGTGCAGGGCCTTCAGATCAAGATGCTCCTGGTTCTTCCTGGCTGGGACTGTGCAGGACCCTCCAGGGGTTCTCTTGAAACAATGGATGCAGCCTCTCCCTGCTCCCTGCCAGTGCCCACAAGCAGCAAAGCTCCCCCCCCCCCAGTAGATCCTACCAAGGACTTTTGAAGGCTTCTTCTGCTTTCTGTGATGTGCTGTCCCGGGAAGGGCTTCTCAGCTCACACTTTGCTCTTCTCTCCTTGCAGGGAAACCCGGGTCCTGCCCAAATGTAGACATGCCCATCCCACCTCTGGGTGTCTGCAGAGACATGTGTAAAACGGATTCGAGCTGTGCAGATAAAATGAAGTGCTGCAAAAATGGATGTGGGTTTATGACTTGCTCAAACCCCGTGCTCTGAGGTGAGCGTCTTTTGTTCATGGGACACGCATGGAAAGAAATGTCTTGAAGAGCAGAGGGAGCCCCCTCTGGGATTCTGTGCCCTGGCCCAGCAGAAGCGCCTCTCCCCAGACAAGGTGCTTGGAGGGACACCAGCCCAGAGCAGGCTGCAGGATGGGGTACGGAGAGAGGCAAGGGGAAAGAGGGCCAGGAAAGGAGAGAGATGGGGATTGTTCCCTGCTGGACTTGGGAAGCAGGGAGAGGACCAGCTGGCTCAAAGCAGAAAGGGAGCAAGGCACAAAAACAAATAAAAAATAGAATATTTGTAGCTGTGGATTAAAATTAAGGGTCCTTGGGGCCCTCTGAGCTTGGTGGTTTTCAATACCTAACTAGGTAACATAATCAACATAAACATAGGAGAGTGGGGTTTGTACTGATGCCCCCTAGTTTGGGCCATGAAACGTCTGCAAGAAAACAACCAAGAGAGCACCAAGGACCCTACACTACTACTACTACTACTCTTTCTCCTCCTCCTCCTCTCCATAAATCCCACTTCCTTCTAGCACTGATGATGCTATCTAGTTGAGTCATGAAACGTCTTCAAGAAAACCACCCAGCTTAGAGAGGACCAAGGACCCCACAGTCCTCCTCCTCCTCCTCCTCCTCCTCCTCCTCCTCCTCCTCCTCCTCCTCCTCCTCCTCTTCTTCTTCTTCTTCTTCTTCTTCTTCTTCTTCTTCTTCTTCTTCTTCTTCTTCTTCTTCTTCTTCCTCCTCCTCCTCCTCCTCCTCCTCCTCCCTGTAAACGCTCTCTCTTCTAGCACTGACAATGTTACCTAGTTGGGTCATGAAACATCTGCAAGAAAACCACCCAGCTCAGAGAACACCAAGGACCCTACAGTCCTCCTCCTCCTCCTCCTCCTCCTCCTCCTCCTCCTCCTCTTCCTCTCTTCAAACCCTATTACATCCTGATGATGACATACCCATATATATTTAGCCTCCAGTCCCCTAATACTCTTGGTTGCTCTTCTCTGTGCTTCTTTTAAAGTCTCCACATCTTTTTTATATGGTGGCAATCAACCTGGATGCCATATTCCAAGTGTGGTCTTACATGGCCTAATTTCTTCTTTGCTCCACAGATACAGCTCAGACTGGGGAACCCGATGCATCCGCAGGACGGGACTCTGAATAAATGACCGTGAGACTCTTGACCTCCTTCCCACCCAGGCTTAGCCAACCCTCTATGCTGGAGGACCTCCATCCCTTGTTCCTTTTTCAGTAAACCTCTCGTTTCACACAGCAGCCTCTGAATCGTCTGGTTTTGTGCTGACTGCTTGGCTACCCTTTCTCTTTGGCAGCAGGACCCCTTTCTCCACCTAGCTCTGGCCAGGGAGGGAGGGACAAGAATGGGGACCCTCCCCTGGTGTCAGGCACGAGCGGCCAGAGCCACTCATGATAGTTGATAGTCAGCAACTCTATTGACGTCTGCCTAAGTTACAAGAATCTCCCCAGACTGCCTGCTTTCCATTGGAAACAACCGGATAAGGTTTCATGGAACTCGGGGAGAGTCAGGTGATGCCTTTTGTGGCTGCACAAGGACTCCAAGCTAGAGCCCCACTTGACTCCTCCTTCCAGCCTGGCTGGAAGTTTCTCAACACCTGGCCAGCCCTTCCACCCTCAACTTCTCTTGTGGAATGGAAGGTTGTGTTCCAAAACGTCTCAAATTTAAGAGGAAAAAGTCAAGCCAGCTCTTTGATGGACCCTTCCGGTTGATTCAGAGAGCCTCCAGCTGTGGTGGAAGTGAGGACGGCAGGGGATAAGGAAGTGCAAGCAGAGGTTATGGATGCCCTGACATGCCCTGATAGCAAGATTGCCTCTAAATCTCTCCGTCCTTATGTGGGGGGAGGGTTCTTCTTATGGGGAGGTGGATGATGGGGAGGGCCAGAGAGGAGCACACTGACCCTCAGGGGAAAGCATAGCCAGGACCAAGAGCCAGGAAAGGGTCTTTCGCCCCTCAGTGCCCTTCAAGGTCAAGGGGATAAATGTGCCAGATGGTACTTCTAGAGCAGTGGTTCTCAACCTTTTTAATGCTGCGACCCCCGACCAATCATAAGTCAAGGACTACCCAACCGGTCGTAAGTTGAGGACTTTCCCTGCCCAGGAGTGCCATGAATGCATGGTGCCGCCCCCTGCGCCGGCCGAGGCGTAGCTGGCAAGCGGCAGAGATGGCGCAGGCCGACCACCGGCTGGGCCACCAGCTGGCCCAGCCCAAGGGAGGTAAGGCCCCCGCCAGGCCCCACGCGCGCCAGCAACCCTCCCTGCGCCCGCCGGCCTCCCGCCTCCCACCCCGGCCCTCTTTTACTTACATTTTTAGTAGTTGCTCAGCAGGGAGGGGTGGAAACTTCCAGACAGCTCGCCTTCGCTGCAGACAGCTTGCAGCACCATTTGCAGACTGGGACTTTTGGCGGGCTCAGCAGGGCAGAGACAGCCTGGACAATTCCTATTGGCTTTTGAAAGCCAATAGAATTAGACTCTATTCAAGAGAGTCTATTCTATTGGCTTTCAAAAGCCAATAGAATAAAAGGGAGTAGCACAGCTAAGGAAAAGGGGGGAAAAATGGCGGACTGCGTTGTTTGGCGACCCCCGTGAAATGGTCGTTCAACCCCAAATGGGGTCCCGACCCACAGGTGGAGAACCGCTGTTCTAGAGGGACCGCTCTAATATCAGATGAAGGTCTTTTCCCCAGCATCTCCTAGTCTAGCCATCATGGAGGTGATGTACACTTGGTGCTTGTCACTGCCCTGTTATGGCCTCCAAAGCCCAGTATGGCCGAGGGCCTGAAGCTCTGAGAGATTGCCTGCCTTCCACCATTTCTGCCCACCCAGGATATTCCCACAGAATGGCTGTTCTCCGGGTCCCCTCTATCAAATATGGCCACCTCAGAGGATGTGGGATGCCTGACTCCTTAGAACAGCATCCCTCCCCCCCCCCAGAGATAAGGACCATGGACCTTGAAAACCTGGCTCTCCGTGTTTATGAAGCACACAATTTATATTGCAAAGACATTGCAAAACTGGATCACATGACTGCAGGATGCTGCAAATGGCCGTAAATGCAGGCCAGTTGCCGAGTAGCCGAAATGCAGTCATGTGACCAGAGAGCACCTGTTGTAACTTCGGAACTGGGTTCAGAATAACAGAATAACACATTTGGAAGGGATCTTGGAGGTCTTCTAGTCCAACCCCCTGCTCAGGCAGGAGACCTTATACCATTTCAGACAAATGGCTGTCCACTCCCTTCTTAAAAGCCTTCAGGGACTGTCCAGTCCCTTCTTAAAAGCCTTCAACTTCTGGTGGCAAGCAGTTCCAGTGGTTAATTGTTCTCCCTGTCAGGAAATTCCTCCTTAGTTCCAGGTTGCTTCTCTCCTTGATGAGTTTCCATCCATTGCTTCTTGTCCTGCCTTCAGGGACTTTGGAGAATAGCTTGACTCCCTCTTCTTTGGGTCAGCCCTTCAAATACTGGAACACTGCTATCATGTCATCCCTCATCTTCTCTTCATTAAACTAGACACACCCAATTCCTGCAATCATCCTTCATATGTTTTAGCCTCCAGCTGTTCATAACTACAAACAGTTATTAAATGACTGGTCATACATCAAAAATTACCTGTACACGTGTTTATGATTGCTTCCATGACCTGGTTTTGTGTAATGGATTTTGCTATTAGATTATTTTAGCCTGGGCTGCCTGTTTCATTTAAGGTTTTTAGCTATTTTTATCTTTTCTCTGGGGATGCAATGGCTCAGCAGTTAAAGGACGCTGTGCTTGTCAGCTATCAACTGGGGTTTGAGACCCGAGCACTGTGAAAAGGGGTGGGCTCCCGTTCCTTACCCATTTAGCAGTTCAAAAACATGCAAATCCATGTAGATAAATAGGTACAATTTGGGTGGGAAGGTAACAGCATTCCATGCACCTTTGGCATATTGACATGCTGGCTACGTGACCATGGAAGTGTCTTCAGACAACCCTGGCTCTCTTGGCTAAGAAATGGAGATGAGCACCATTCCCCCCCCCCCAGTCAAACATGATTGGACAAATGCAGGGATAGGCCACCTTGGCTCTTTTATGACTCATGGACTTCAACTCCCAGAATTCCTGAGCCAGATAGAATAGAATAGAATAGAATAGAATAGAATAGAATAGAATAGAATAGAATAGAATAGAATAGAATAGAATAGAATGGGAATAGGAATAGGAATAGGAATAGAATATGGGAATAGGAATAGGAATAGAATATAGGGAATAGGAATAGGAATAGAATATAGGGAATAGGAATAGAATAGAATAGAATAGAATAGAATAGAATAGAATAGAATAGAATAGAATAGAATAGAATAGAATAGAATAGAGAACAGAATAGAATAGAATAGAATAGAATAGAATAGAATAGAATAGAATAGAATAGAATAGAATAGAATAGAATAGAATAGAATAGAATAGAATAGAATAGAATAGAATAGAATAGAATAGAATAGAATAGAAAATATGGAATGGGATAGAATAGAATAGAATAGAATAGAATAGAATAGAATAGAATAGAATAGAATAGAATAGAATAGAATAGAATAGAATAGAAAATATGGAATGGGATAGAATAGAATAGAATAGAATAGAATAGAATAGGAATAGAATAGAATAGAATAGAATAGAATAGAATAGAATAGAATAGAATAGAATAGAATAGAATAGAATAGAATAGAATAGAATAGAATAGGAATAGGAATAGGAATAGAATATGGGAATAGGAATAGGAATAGGAATAGAATATGGGAATAGGAATAGGAATAGAATATGGGAATAGAATAGAATAGAATAGAATAGAATAGAATAGAATAGAATAGAATAGAATAGAATAGAATAGAATAGAATAGAAAATATGGAATGGGATAGAATAGAATAGAATAGAATAGAATAGAATAGAATAGAATAGAATAGAATAGAATAGAATAGAATCTGGAAGGGACCTTGGAGGTCTTCTAGTCCAGCCCCCCCGCTCAAGCAGGAGAACCTATACCACCTCAGACAGGTGAATGTCCAGCCTCTTATAAACCTCCAGTGATGGAGCACCCACGATTTCTGAAGGGAAGCTGTTCCACTAATTAATTGTCCTCCCTGTTAGAAACTTTCTCCTCAGTTCCAGGTTGCCTCTCAGTCCCCCTCCCCTTGGAATGGCAGCGTTCTGACAGGGACCTGACATCCACCCAAAAATGGGTGGAGGACACTAGAAGAGGCTACATTTCCTGTGGGCATCTGCCAAAATTTTCTTTTCTAAGACCACAAACTGCTCTGCATGTTCTCTTCTCATGCACCACCAGGAGGCAGCACTGGACCGGTGTTGTCTTTCCTTGAGCCTCATCAGACACAGGCAGCAAATGTTATTCCATAGGATTTAAATCCGCTGCTGGGAACTGCCTGTGTGGGCACGCACACGTTTTTAAAAAATATAATTTTAATAAAATTATCAAAGTATAAAATGGAAAGGCAGAGATGGCTTTGCTCTAGAGAGTAGATGCAAAGACTGGCTTGGTGGCTCCACTCCAGTAGGGCTGACCTGGTGGGAGCTGGTGTGCAAATGGCCGTGAAGTGGAATTTTTTTCCCCAGCTGAGAGTGTGCAAGAAACCCCAAAGGAGGAAGGCGTCCATTGTGGTTGTGTGAAGGAGAGAAAGGGGGGGTGGACGGGTGTTGGGAGACGCAGGGACAAAAGAAGGATGGGTGGGAATCTGCTTTGGGGAGACCTCCGGTCGCTCTGTTCTGGGAGGGGGCATTGCAGCCCTTAACTGGACTCTGGAAAAGGGTTGACGTTTTCCCGATGCCCACACGAATCACCCCGCATTGAAGAAATGAAGTTATTGGTGACTTATGAACAGATGGCATGCAAATATCTTGTGTGGAAAATACAAGGCAAATATCCATATGTGTGAGAAGCTCTCGTATATCTAATCTTTTTTCCTGTCATTCTGTCTTCTTTTGCTGTTTTTTGCCTGCTTCTCTTTTATTTCTGTTCTGCTTAATTTAAATGAAGGCAAAAAGCTTTCCCTGATTGGCCTCATGGCCTCCAGCCAGACCATCCGTGTGTGGAGCCATCATCGCAGGACAGCAGAGTCTCTGTGTCCACTCCAGATTTACTCTGGAGTAAGCCCTTCGTGGGGACTCAGTTACTGACCCTCAGGCAGGGATTTCTCGCAACAAGAGAGGCTCTTCCCCTGCGGATTCTCTCTGGAGAGCCACATTGGGGAACAGC